AGAGGAGGCCTATAGTTCCCGGTACTCTATTCATCCGGGCGCCACTAAGATGTATTATGATTTGCTGCAGCATTATTGGTGGAGGAGAATGAAGAAGGATATTGTTGCATATGTGGCTCGGTGTTTGAATTGTCAGAAGGTAAAGTACGAGCATCAGAGACCTGGTGGTTTGTTCCAGAAGATTGAGATTCCTGGTGGTTTGTTCCGTGCCGCATGATGTACAATTCTGTGCCGATTATATTGATTTTTATGGTGAGGATGAGAGTAAAAGAACGAAGGGTGATGCCGTGCAGATTATATTGATTCTTATGGTGATGACGAGAGTAAAAGCATGAAGGGTGATGTCGTGGACTTGTTTGATTTCTGATTCTTGTTGATAATTGAGTCATGGTTTTCCTTATATTTATGTGTTGCCTTTTGTTATCATTTGATGTTTCCCCACAACATGTTTTCCGCTCCCATCCTTAACTGTACATTCCTACTTTTATTTTCTGCGGTATATGATTTAACTGCACAGTTTATTTGGTAGTTTAGTCCTAGCCTCGTCACTACTTCGCCGAGGTTAGGCTAGCTACTTACCAGCACATGGTGTCGGTTGTGCTGATACTACACTCTGCACTGTGTGCAGATACCGGTACTGGAGCATACGGACCGTAGCTTTGGATTGATGTCTTCAGTCCATTCGGAGATCTGAGGTAGTCCTGCAGGCGTCCGCAGGCCTTGATGTCTCCTTCTATCCTTTTACTCTGTTTTTTTTAATGTATTTCAGAGACAGTGTTGTAATAACTCTTTCGGACCTTTTTTGTAGTGTTCCTAGACAGTTTGTAAAATTATGATACCAATCTTGGGTAGTTTACGTATGAATTGATATTGACATCTTTATTAATATATTACGTTTCAGTCTTTCGCTTTTAATTTCCGCTGTCTATATAATATTGGCTCTTAATTGTTAAAGGATTAAAAATGGAAAAAAGGTAAATAATTCAAATGGTTGGCTTGCCTAGCTTTCACAAGTAGGCGCCATCACGATTTCCGAGGGTAGAAAATCAGGGTCATGACATAATATTATTAATTTCTATAAACGTACGTTGCACGATAATAATTGCACCTTGATGTTTGATCGCTAAAAATTTTGACAATCATACTTTTCACGTAGGTTCTCAATCACTTATTTATATATATTAAAGAACCAAGAATTAAATTTACTTAATATATTATCTATATGAACGTATGTGAAAGAAAATGTAATAATCTTCAAATATTTTTACACTTACATAATATTTAAATTTAAAATGATTCGACATCATCATCTGAACCTGTGAATGATATATGTACTTATAATATAGAAAACAAGAAATGTAGTCGTATCTTAACTAATGATTTTTTATATACGATATTTTTGGTGTTTGTTTCCTTACAATACTTTGTACGCTTTGTTATGATTATAACTGTTGTTGTCAATATTGATATCCCTCTTGAAAACGTAACATACAAAAGCCAATAATAATAATAAGGAAAGATGACATTGTATAGTCAGTCTCAAAATAATAGCTAGAAAAATATACTCCTCATATTTCAATTTATGTGAATTTATTTCCTTTTTAGCTCGTACCAAAAAGAATGATCCCTTTCTATTTGAAAATAATTTACTTTTATGCAATTATGTATAGCCACACAAATACATATCTATCTCATTTTACACCACAAGTTTAAAAGTTTTTTTAAAAAAACTTCGGGCTTAGTCAAATTAGTTCACATAATATATANCCGGATATAAATAATTTCGACCGCAGGGTAAAAGTGATCTTTGCCCATTTAATAATACTAGTTCTCGGACACGTATATTGCACGTGTATTCTATGCTAATTAATATAAATATTTTAAAAAATTACAATAAGTGTGTGATAAATTGCACAAAAGTTGAAAAGAGGAAATACAAGCTTTCAAATTGATGAATAGTGAGCTTATTCAACCGATATTTGTTATCATTGCAAGGCACATCAAACTGAAAAATTGCTATCAAATGGACTTCAAAAGTAACATTCGAACGACTTTAATTATGCAATTCTTATAATATATCAAGTACTTAACTTGACCGTAATTCCTTTTTTATATGTGTCAACAATATATTATTCACGTGTTGGTTATGGTTGCAAATATTTTACATCTTAAAATTTTTTAATAAAAAAAAACTGTAATCTCTACCATTTTACACTCACATACATATCAAGAAGTGATGGTCGAATGAGAGTAATATTTTGTAAATGTTATAAAACTTCGATCAATATATGCCTTCTTTAGGATGGGTAGCAGATTATTGTCAACTCCGTGGTGTATACCTACACAGAAATAGAAATTATTTGTGATAGAGATAGTTGATGAAATATTTAATTAATTATATAAATCATGATTACACGTACATATATCCTTTATCTCCTTGTTTATTTGATTCAAAATTGTTAGTTTTTCATCTATCAGTTTAACAAAAAAAATATTACGTGAATTATATAAATATAATACTGTTATGAAATACAACACAATCATTAGATGTTGGTATTTTGATATTATTGTACTTCATGAAAAATATAACACTTGATTAGTAGTTCCAATATCGACGGTCATAGGCAACAAACATTTGAAAAAAGAGAGAAAGAAAATAGTCCTGCAGATATAAGCCCAAAGCAGTTCCCACTATACTATGCCTCAAAAATAAAAACGTCCCCATTCTTAATTCCTCAGTAGTTTTTGGGAGGAAAAAAAGATGCTATCATCTTCAGTGATGATGCAACGTTTTTTCAGCTTTCTATTACCGCTTCTTATCATTCTAAACTCAGTAGAAGAACTTAATTTTCTAATCATTTATCGCAGCAAAATGATTAATAATAGTGGAAAGTATTGCTTATCAAGAATTTGAATAAACCATAGTATACGTTTTCATGAAGACTCATAAAAACTAACAAAGAAAAATAAACTTACATGATAAAATCTGCAGCTTTCCTCTGTTGTTTTGTTCTTATGGAGATGGTTATATACATAGTGTTGATTTTTAACTCCATTTATATAAGTTCATTGTTGATAATATTCTTCAGAATATACAACAATTGATTAGCAATTATTTACGATTACAGATGGCCACTAATTGGTGCAGATAGAGGGAGGATGATGATAGAAAACCCAAATTTTTCTAACACCACTATGTAGCTTAAGTTAACGTAAGAGGTAAAAACGTTTTGGTGGTTTTAATGTTCAATTCCCACGTTCAAGGCAGCCATAACACACAACTTAATTGGATCCTACTTAAATAGCCAATTTAATTTCCAAGTCACACAATAACGAAGTACCATACATTTAGGTAGAATGTGCATTAATTAAAGTACTGATTTAGAAGTAACTTTTTAAAACGTTTCGTAGAGAGGAATATAAAGAAGGGAGAAAGAGGCATAAAGCATTTAATAGAAGATATTTTAAAGGGTAAATTAGAAGGGTAATAACGTCAATCAATTTTTAAAAAATATTTTAGTAAAATAACTTCAACTAAAAAACTTCGCACTTATAATATAGTACGATGTTATATCAAATAAGAAACATATAATTTGAGACTAACACGTCAACTCATGTACAAACTGATTGTGATAAATGGCAAAATTAGGACAGTACTGGTATGCACAATATGACAGGTCTTTTTAGTGCTCGTAGAATTCTATTTTTCTAACTTTTCTCATATAAGTAATTATCATAATTCTAAATATTATAATTTTTTCCAATCATGGAGTTTTTTTATGAATGAAAATTTTATATTTTTGAATGGATTGAGTCCCAATGGAAAAAGGTTACTTAGTCCTAATCCAAAATTATATTTATACCCATCGTTAAATTGCTACATAGAGAAAATATTAACTATAAAGGACAAAAAGGTCAATCAATAATTTAGGATTATTTTTGTCTCTTAACATTTAGCTTCCTAACATTCGTGTTTTTTTAATAATATAGATAGATATAGATATAAATATATAAAAGATTAACAAAATATTTAAATTCAAAATCTCAAAAGATATAAATATTTCACGAATTAAATGCTAAAGAAATACAACAACAACAACAACTCAGTGAAATCCCACTAGTGGGGTCTGGGGAGGATAGTGTGTACGCAGACCTTATCCCTACCCCGAAGGAATAGAGAGGCTATTTCCGAAAGACCCTCAGCTCAAGAAGACAAAAAGGAAAAAAGGAGACAAAATTAGTAATACCACAGAAATAATAAGAAAAATAGGTAAAATAGGGAAAATATGTAAAATAGGAACTAACATACAATCCAGAAGAAAGATACAAAGCAGAAGTGAAATAGTATCCCTACCAAACTAATCCCACAAAGTTATGACATAAGGCAAGACTCAACTACCTCCTAACCTACAACCTTAATATTCGACATCCACATGTTTCTATCAAGTGTCATGTCCTCGGTAATCTGAAGCCTCGCCATATCTTGCCTGATCACCTCCCCCCAATACTTATTAGGCCGCCCTCTACCTCTTCTCGTGCCCTCTACAACCAGCCGTTCGCACCTCCTTATCGGAGCATCTGGGCTTCTCCTCAGAACATGCCCGAACCATCTGAGTCTCGCTTCCCGCATCTTGTCATCAATGGGAGCCACACATACCTTCTCCTGAATATTATCATTCCTAATCTTATCCATCTTAGTATTCCCGCACATCCACCTCAACATCCTCATTTCTGCTACCTTCATCTTCTGGATATGCGACTTCTTAACGGGCCAATACTCAGCTCCATATATCATAGCCTGTCTAACCACCGATTTATAGAACTTACCTTAGAGTATCAGTGGCACTCTCTTGTCGCACAGTACTCCATATGCTAACCTCCACTTTATCCATTTTACCCCAATGCGATGTGTGACATCCTCGTCGATCTCCCCTCCCCCTGGATAACCAACTCAATGTACTTGAAGCTACCTCTACTCGGAATGACCTGTGATTCAAGCCTCACATCCACGCCCATTTCCCCTGCTTAGCGCTAAACTTACACTCCAGGTATTCCGTCTTCATCCTGCTAAGCTTAAAACCCTTAGATTCCAGAGCCTGTATCCAAAGCTCCAGCCTCTCATTAACACCGACTCGCGACTCATCAATTAGAACTATGTCATCGGCGAACAACATGCACCATGGCATATCCCCTTGAATGTTGTGTGTTAACACGTTCATCACCAGAGTGAATAAGAACGGACTAAGCGCAGAACCTTGGTGTAACCCCATGACAACCGAAAAATCCTTAGAGTCGCTTTCTACTGTCCTAACCTGAGTCTTTGCCCCATCATACATGTCCTTAATCACCATAATATAGGGGACCGACACGCCTTTTGCCTCCAAGCTTCTCCAGAGAACTTCTCTAGGAACCTTGTCATACGCTTTCTCCAGGTCAACAAACACCATGTGCAGGTCTTTCTTCCTATCTCTGTACTGTTCCGCCAACCTCCTAACAAGGTGTATAGCTTCAGTAGTAGAACGACCCGGCATGAACCCAAACTGGTTGTCGGAAACAGACACCGTCATCCTCAACCTCGCTTCAACCACCCTCTCCCAGACTTTCATAGTATGACTCAGTAATTTGATACCCCTATAGTTGTTACAACTTTGGATATCACCCTTGTTCTTATACAATGGGACCACCGTGCTCCACCTCCACTCATCGGCATCCTCTTCGAGTGAAAAATAACATTTAACAACCTAGTCAGCCATTCCAAACCCGCTTTTCCCACACACTTCCAAAATTCTATTGGAATCTCGTCAGACCCAGTCACTCTGCCCCCACACATCTTACTCATAGCTCCTACGATCTCCTCGACCTTGATGCGCCTGCAGTACCCAGAGTCACTGTGACTCTCGGAATGCTCCAAATTACCTAGCCACAATACCCCGATCCCCTACTTCATTAAGAAGTTTTTGAAAGTAGGTCTGCCATCTCCTCTTTATCTGGGAATCTTCCACCAATACTCTACCATCGTCGTCCTTGATGCATCTCACTTGGTCTAAATCTCGAGCTTTCCTCTCTCTCTGCTTGGCCAGCCTAAATAACTTCTTCTCCCCGCCTTTTTCCCCTAGTTCGTCATACATACGACCATAAGCAGCAGTCTTAGCCTCCGTGACCGCCAGCTTCGCTTCCTTCCTAACTACCTTATACCTCTCCATGCACCCTAAAAAATCTAATACATTATTAAAATAATTATTAACTAAACGTACAAATATTTAAACTCTAAGGCACACAATTAAAAAATACAAATAGATTACGTTTACATATTATTGGTGATTGTCCAATATAAGATATATCATGTGTACATCTTCAAATAAAAAAAGAATGATATGCATCTATATTATTATAAAAGCACAAAATAAGAGAACGTTAAATATTGAACGACAGAAATATCCCTGAAATATTGACGGACCTTTATACCCTTCTAAAACTATTTTATTTTTTCTAAGAAACAATTCCGTATTGGATAAGATGGTAATACTCTGGAATTTTCCTTTATACATTGGACTTTAAATTCAACTATAAATTGAAATAAAATCCTAATCTTTTAAAATTAGAGTTATAATCAAAGATAACAAAAGTAAGACAAAAAGTTTCCCGATTCCAACAAGGATTCATAAATTAACTATAAAAGTTATAGTCCATAAGCCTAACTTAAACATAACATTTACAATATTAGTATTGAACTGACAATATGAGACCTCCGAATATAATAATTGGAACTTCCTGACACGACATCTGATCCATCTGGGGGAGAATATATAGGCACACGTCAAAGTTTTCATGTCACGTATGACGGTGATTAATACTTCATAACACCAGGTCTTCAAATTAGGTTAGCATATCAAAGGAGATTAGTGACAGATTGTTTATCTTTGTAGCTAAAATTTTGAATCCTTCCAACAGTTTACTGTGTAGGTATATAAGTATTGCAAACTCTATGATCTCTTTGCACTTTTAAACATGACGATATATACATGATAGTATTTACCTACGTTTATGTCACGACCCTAAAATCGATCCGATCGTGATGACCCCTATCGTGAAACTAGGCCAGCCGACACAATTCCCAAATCAACCATTTTTTTATAAAAGTCATTTTTAAGCCATTAATTACCAAGAAAATCTCATAATACAAGTCTAAATAACCAGTGCGGAATAAATACACAAGCCTGACATCGGGGTGTCACAAGTCACAAGCAACTACAATTCTGTCTCAATATAATAAAGTCTAACAAAGTCTGGAAGACAAAACTAAATAAATCTAGGGAAGATATGAGGGAGAAGAACAGAGCTGCGAATGCAATGCAGCTATCTTATCGACTCCGAAATCCGGCTGAATGGGCGATCAATGCTCACTGTCGCGACCCACAACTCCTGGATCTGCACACAAGGTGCCGAGAGTAATGTGAGTATGCCAACCCAGTAAGTAATAAAAGTAAAAGCAGCTGAACAGTAAGAAAACAGGTAATTCCACGTCATAACACTACAACAAAACAGTATATGTCCAAAATAATACAGAAATCAATTAACTCATAAAAATAACTCAGTTTAAGTAAAACTTTTTTCTTTTTAAAAACATCTTTCAATAGTTTCAAACAAGTGGTGAAAACAATGAGTAAAAATGATAAAAACATAAATAGCCCCTCGGGCAAAACATATACCATAAACCGCCCCTCGGGCAAAATATCAACAGAACTAGCCCCTCGGGCAACCTCACAATCACTCGTAATCAGCCCCTTGGGCAACAATATGAATCAACAATAGATCCTCGGGCTACATCACATCACTCACACTGGGTACCCGCGCTTACTGGGGGTATTCAGACTCCGGAGGGGCTCCTACAGCCCAAGCGATATAACAAGCCATCTCATGGCATAATCAATCCGGCCCTCAGCCTCTTATATATCACAATTAGTACATCATGCTGCGGCGCGCATCCCGATCCCGTGATATCCTCATAACATAGGCCCTCGACCTCACTCAGTCAGAAACCTCTCAAGCCACTTAGGCAACAGTAAAACAGGATGCTCAGCCCAAAATATCATTTTAAGTATCAAATCAGAGTAAATACGGCTGAGTTGTGAAATCAGTAAAATACAACATAACTGAGTACATATATTAAGTCAAAATAGTGATGAATAGTAGTAAAAAGCCCCTAAGGGTCCAAACAGTTGGCACGAGGCCCAAATATGACATTCATCCAAAAACATAGTAATACTTTCTAAAACACAGTAGTATTAAGTAGTTTTCAATTAAATACACGACTTAATAGTCGTACGGGACATACCAAATCACAATCCCCAACGGTGCACGCCCCCTCGCTCGTCATCCAGTGTGTACGTCACCTCAAGTAGCACCATAATGTAAAATCCGGGGTTTCATACCCTCAAGACAATATTTACAATCATTACTTACCTCAAACCGGTCCAAACTCTGGCCCCCGATGCCTTTGCCTCTCGAATCGGTCTCCAAATGCTCCGAATCTAACCAAAAACCGGATTCATGCCGTCAAAATAAGCTAAAGGAACAAAGTCCACGCAAAAATACTTAAATTACATCAAAAATCCCAAAATTGGAACCTGACCCCCGGGTCCACGTCTTGGAATTCGATAAAAATCATATCACTAGAATCCTTAGCCTCCCACGAGTCTACACATACCAAGAACATCAAAATCAGATCTCAAAAGGCCCCTCAAATCCCCAATGAAAAATCTCCCATTACAAGCCCTAATTCTCAAATTTTAACCCTTAAATCCTACAAATTTCTTGTCTAATCAGTTAGAAATCACCATAGAATCGAGTATTGGGTTCAAAAATCTTACCTCAAAGCGTTACCCCTTGAATACCTCTACCAATCCTCTCAAAAAGCTCCAAACCCGTCTAAGAAATGGAGGAAATAAGCTAAAAATCGCGAAGATGGCCTTTTATACTTTCTGCCCAGGCATCTCGCACCTGCGGCTCTCTTTTCGCATCTGCGGTCAAAATAACCGTACCTGCGGTTTTTCACTTAAGGTCAAACTTCCGCATCTGCGGTTAAAACCTCGCACCTGCGGCCAAGCTCCAATTGACCAAAGACTGCTTCTGCGACCTCCTCTACGCATCTGCGACATCGCGCCTGCGGTCCTCAATCCGGAGGTGCGGAAAAAACAAAAGCAGAAAATTTCTGCAACTACACTTAAAATCCAAATCTTTCGCCAACCTTCTGAATCCATCCCCAGGCCCTCGAGACCTTAACCAAACACTTCAACAAGTCGCATATCACCATTCAAACTCATACCAACCCTCGGAACACTCAAAGCAACGCCGAAACACCAAATCACCCTCGGATTCAAGCCTAAGGATTCCAAAACATCTGAATTCCGCCATCGATCAAAACGTCTATCAAACCTCATCTGAATAACCTGAAAGTTTGCACACACGTCCCAAATGACATAACAGACCTACTCCAATTTCTGGAATTCCAATCCGACTCCGATATCAAATTTTCCACAACCAACCGGAAAATGCCAAAACTCCTATTTTGCCAATTCAAGCCTAAATCTACCACGGACCTCCAAAATACATTATGATCATGCTCTTAAGTCCCGAATCACCTCACGAAGCTATCCGAACCATAAAAATCAAGTTTCATTATCATTTACTCACAAGTCAACTTCCGGTTGAATTTTCCAACTAAATATTCCAAAAAAGAGACTAAGTGTCTCATTTCTCTTCAAACCACTCCGAACCCAAACCAACCAATGTGATATGATGAAATGTAGTTGAACAACACATAAAGAAGCGAAAAATGGGGGAAATAGAGCGGTAACTCATGAAGCGACTGGCCAAGTTGTTATATCCCCCCCTCTTAAATAAATGTTCATCCTCGAACGAGTCAAGAAACATACCTGAAGCCTCAAATAGGTGAGGATATCTGCTCCGCATCTCCCTCTCGGTCTCCCAGGTAGCCTCCTCCACGGACCTGCCACTCCAAATAGCCACTGGCTCCACATCATAAGTCAAATCACCGTCTAATTGAACCGTGCTGAAATCCAAAACATGAGACGGATCGTCAATATACTTCCGGAGCATAGAAACATGAAATACCGGATGCACACTCGACAAGCTAGGTGGCAAAGCCAGCTTATAAGCCACCTCCCCAATCCTTCGAAGCATCTCAAAAGGCCCAATGAACTAGGGACTCAATTTACCCTTCTTCCCAAATCTCATAACACCCTTCATGGGTGAAACCTTCAATATAACCTTCTCCCCAACCATGTAGGATACATCACGAACCTTCCTATCAGCACAACTCTTTTGTCTCAACTGCGCTATACGAAGCCCCTCTTGAATCACCTTCACTCGTCCAAAGCATCCTGCACCAAGTCTGTACCCAAAAGTCTAGCCTCACCTGGCTCAAACCAACCAACTTGTGATGACCCAAAAAGTCATCACTTGATTTACAAGTTAATTCTGTGTTTCGAGGCCTTAAAAGCTTCCTTTTATCTCACCTCAATTGCATGCACGGTCTGGGCATATATACGGAACGCTTTTATGTGAAAATTTGATAAAAATGATAATTTGGCCTTTAAAATTGAATTTAAGTTGACTTCGGTAAATATTTTGGGTAAACGGACCCGGACCCGTGATTTGACGGTCCTAGAGGATCCGTAGAAAAATATGGGACTTGGGAGTATGCCTGGACTTGAATTCTGAGGTCCCAAGCCCGAGAAATGAATTTTTAAAGAAAATTATTTAACTGGAATTATAAGAGTTTTTGGAAATTTAAATGTGTTTAAATTTGATGGTAGCAGGCCCGTATTTTGGTTCCAGAGCCAGGTAAAGGTCTTATATGGTATTTAAGTTGAGCTTGTAATATTTGGTAAGAAACGGACTTGATATTATGTGAATCGGACCCTCGGTTGTTAAAATTTGAACTTAAGAGTTCTTGAGATTTTTCTTTGATTTTGATGTTAAATTCGTTGTTAAAAATGTTAATTTGGAGATTTGATCGCACGGGTAAGTCCATATGATGTTTTTGAGTTAGTATGTATGTTTGGTTTGGAGCCCCGAGGGCTTGGGTGAGTTTCGGATAGGTTTCGGGGTATTTTGGACTTAGGATTTTCTGATGTTTTGCTGCTTCTGGTGTACTGATGTGTTGTTCTTCGCGTTCGCG